CTGGAGATCGTGCAAAGATGAGGCGGCATCGGCGAGACAGCTTGCTTGCGGCTTTCACTGCCACGCGTCATAATCAGCCATTACCCCGCAGATAACTCAGCACCAAACATACTTTAAACAGGCAATCCGATTAGAAGACGGCAGCAGACGCGCCACTGGTGTCGGTTGCGAGCCATGTCCTGTAAAGTCACGAGCCAAACACAAGGCGAGTCACGTAGACTCCAGCCCGGAAGGCGAGACGGACCAACGGCACCCAGTTTGGTAGTCAGTGACTTCATTTGCCGCTGCCAAGTCAACTTCTGTCCACCGCGAGCCTTGCGCCACCCTACACCTGGCACACTAAACGAGGTCCTCCTAGGTAAGCGGTGACCAGGCATACGTAGCACGTGCCCGAGCCAACGCAACTTATTCAGTGCTATCTTTTGTTCTAGGGAGCTAGCATGATTATCACTACCTAGTACTCGCCTACGCACATCATCGTTGCGGACACGCTGGTGCCATCCGACTCCAGCAATGCTTCGCAGGCAACGATGATCAAAGACTTGAAGGCGCCTCAGATCTTCAGACCGAAGCGGCCAAGTCTCACTACCATAGAGCAGAACGGCCCTCACTGTGGTCTTGTATATCCGGCCTTTCAGACGGAGGGAAACTCCCTTCTGTCGCAAAAGATGCCGCAGATTCAAGAAGGTAGCTCTGGCCTTTGTAATGCGTGAGTTGACGTTAGTTTCTATGAGCCCATTATTGCTGATGCAGCTGCTAAGATAAGTGAAATGATCAACCACCTCGAGTTCCTCGTTAGCAAGCGTCGAGGTGTCGTAAAGTGGCTGGTGGTCCTGCAGCAACACTTTGCACTTATAGGGTGAGTTGAATCGGCGACAATCTGCAAGGCAAGTCTTATGTGAGCTGGTATAATTAGACACAAGAAGGTCAACCGATGTTGGCTTTGGAATGTCACTAGGTCAAGACAGTTTTGTCACTGACCTAATTAGAAGTTTGAAACGCTTACTTTAGAAATCAGGGACTGTCATAGAGGAGCAATAAGTCCAGTGGGTATGACACAAGCGGTTATAAATTGCAGTGTTAATTGGGGGGACTAGAAGAAGATCGCAAGCGAGCAGCGTTGAAAGAATTCTTCACAGTTTTTTGAAAACTTCATTCACATGAAGTGACCGAGAATGATCACGGCTAAGTGTGATGCGGTGGAGTGCAAACACTCGCCATCTATGTGCTGTTCTGAGCAATCCATAAGATGTTGCTGACAGCGAAGGCTTTTATGTAGTAAGAAAATAACCAGTAAATTTTAATGCATCTAACAATAAAAAGGGAGCTTTGGACCACAATGCGACTATGTCCAGCTAGGCTAGTAATTTTCATGATAAGGATGCGGTCGGATGTTGCATACTCATGATCCCATCATTTGCGTATTTCAGCAATATCACTTCCTCAAAAGCAGATTGTGAGACGAGGTAAGTTGTAAAAGGATATAGAGACAGTATGGCTCCATGAAGATCCCCGCTGATAGTGGTAAGTAGTGAGGGACTTTTACTCACAAGTTGAGCAAACTGGGCACTTACAGTGAAACAGTCTCTCAGTAGATGGACGGCAAAAGGCAGAATTCCGCACAACGCAGATTTCCCGAAAGAAGCTCATAGTCTACATTGTCCAAAGCATTACCGTAGTCGACAAAGCATATTCGCACAGATATGATCTTCCAGTCTAGTGACGCCAGCACTAAATGTACAAGATGGGCTAATACGACTTGAGTAGACCACAAACTAGGATACGCATATTGAAGCTGGTTATTCGATTTGGTTTGAGTCAGTGACCGTGCAAGAATAATCTTTTGGAAGATCTTCAGTTTAATTGTGGTGTAGGCATTTGGGTGATTGTATCTGAACTATTCTTTGGTACCAGTGTAATTCTAGCAATTTCCCAGCAGTCATCAATTTTACATCCTTTCATACACAAAGTGTACAAGTCAGCAAGAGTTTAGACCAATGAATCGGCACACACCTTGAGGAAAACGGTAAGGGGTCAGTCCGGGTCACTTGTTTTGTTGGAATTTTGCTGCAGCAGTTTATTTTCCTCCGTATTTTTGCCAATGTCAGATAGAGGTTGTAGACTTATCCAATCGAAGGATGAAAGGTAAGAAGTGGGGTTAATACTGAAGCAAAATTTTTGCGGTTCTACTCGTTAAGGTCCATTTCTGGATTCGACACTCGATGACAGACTACACATTGTTATTTCAGTATCGGCCAGATCTCCTGACAGCTATTATTTCCGAGTATAGTCTGGACATATAGGTGGTTTAGATGGCGCAGCTCTACCTTGATGAAAAAAGAAAGAGATTTCCCAGAAGTGTAGGTTTTCCTTTTGTATGCTCTTCCTTTGAGTCTACGCAAGCGGTTTAGCTATTTTTGTTGTAAGCCAATCCCCACGGATGAACATGGTTTTCAGTGGCCAGCAAGTATCGAAACAGAACTTGAGGTACCTCCTTAACTGCTCACGGTATGCAGATAAATCAGGGTCGAGGGATATACTAACTTTTGTGGATGCAGCCATTTTTCGTAGTCTATTTTTGTTCGGAGGGGTACATTGTCTTCTTTTAAGCCCGCGATCTAAACAGCCTATAGTCTCCATTTGACGTACCTTGCTGTAGACTACAGGAGATAATTTGACCTTTGAGTGATCAGAGCAACCAAACGGCGCTTGATTGCACACACAAATCAACTGCGCATTTTAACAAGTCTGGTGGTAGAGTTTACAACTTCTTCAACTCGAGATGTGTGAGAAAAGTGGTGTCAATTCTGTTAAAATCAGCAGCGAAAATGCAGCGAACATAGTCGCTTGGTCGACGCTAGTCTGTTGAGGAGGGCATTCAGAATTCACCCATCTTATCTCCGATTATCAATGTCTATGTGCATACCAACCGCAAAATTGGCGGAAGTGCAACATCACAGCGCTTGATACCTCACAAGGTCGGGCAAAGAAAAATGTTAGAGGATTGCACTGAGTTTCTTCCCAGAAATGACTGAAGTAACCCGGAGTGCTTGGTGCACACTACCGGCAGCTGCGTGGAGAATTCATAATAACAAGCCAAGTATTCAACGATATCAGTCAAGTATGCCGCCACCTCAAACAGCTCGAACACCAGCCTGAGACGCAGTAGTTACATTGTTGTCGAAGTTACTTCTGTCTCCGGGTCTGCGAGCCATAGAATGCCCTTCCAAACAGAGATTTGTGTCCCCCATTCAGCAGTTAACAAAAACTTGGTGGATGTCAACACTCAGGTTCGCACACATGGTTGCCTGGACGGATACTCTGGAATGTGTTCCGGTTGATTAGTTATTTTTGAATTATAATCCACACCGATGCACGTAAACCACAGTGAACAGGTGGGATAGTCATTTATTCTTTACAATATACATTAAGGATAACAACTCGTTTTTGCTGTTTTATAAATCGCTACCTCATTCCCACAATCCTCAATCAAATGTGAAGTTATCCCGTCGTTTCATCGACAGGGTAGTAATCCAGTTTGCGATTTCTTCACCTAAAAACTTACTGACCTAATAGGCTTCCGCTTTTTTCCTCATAATAAACCACTGTTGCATTGTAGCATTTTTCCTACCTTCCAAATCGGTTCCTTCAACCCAGGCATTTAATATCAAGGTCTCGAGAGTTGTGAACCTCGTGATTTAATTCTTTTGTGCTATTGCCCAGCACCGGGGATCAACTGCATATAAGAATAGGTGCGATCGGGAAATGTTCACTGTGATTAACGGAGTGCTGTTATTATGTCCAAGATGGCCCAAGAAATTGCTCTTACGCACTCAGAACCGGCTTAAACATGACTCTTCTAACAATCTAAGGATAAATAAATGACTGTACTTAGCAAACAATGTAATACTTTTGAACTTTGGGCCTTACCCAATCAGGTGAGCTGTGTTGCGTTGATGAGTATATAGCGAAGGGGAGATTAACTCGCTCTATAAAACAACGTGAGAGCAGGATTCCAAGTGGTCTCAAATGTATTCGCCAATATTTGTTGAACTGGACTTCAAACAGTTCCGTCTACGTGGTTGATTTAGTTGATTTAGTGCATACCTAAGCATACACTATGAGAAACAGGCGGTTGTTAACCCAGTTTGACTGAGCTTTTCTAAAAGTACATACTTCCAATCTCTTGGTCTGGTTAATAGAATCATTGTCGACGATGTTTCAGCAGCACTGTATGACACAGCACTTTTTCCCATAAGGAAATACAGTGACTACCATAAGATAAGTAAATGAGAACACTTCCTAATTACGCCGCGTACTAAATTTGTCTCTGTCAACTGGTTTTCTTTCCGCAATAAAACTTCCTGATCACTTGTTGCACTATGACTGGTTACAGTTATCTTCAAGTCACCGGCAATGTACTCAGTCAAATGAGCCTATCTGATGTGGTTAGTTAGCGTATTGATATTCATTCTCTCAGTATGGAGCTTATGGAGTAACAGTTTTAGCCGGAAAATATCACACTTCTGGGAGAGTGTTTCAAAGTAGCCGTTTCCCATGCGGTTGACTAGCAAGTCGAACTATTGCAAGCAACTTTTATACCTTGGTTCCCAAGTAGCGTGTACTTTAACATATCACCTCAAGGTACGTCAGTTGTTTCTTGAGTCTAAAAACGGTTTTATTCGCAATTATTGGGAACACTTTTAACTGGGAGTGTGAATGATTTATTTCAATTTATATACAGGGCAGTCTAACGGGCCTTTTATCAACTCTCGGACGCAAGTAAATAGGTTGCTATGCACCGTACGTGTCATCTCATCCCCCTGTTACCCACTTACCCACAAAGGGGAAGAGGGGATGGCCTTCTCCATTCTGATTGGTTGTTACACACCCGTCTCCATAGGCCTAATCTCTTTTGTTTCCTTATGTCCCCCTTCCGTCTAGTTCCGTGGCTTATATAGTTCATGTACGAGGCAACCCTCATAGTATCCACTTGCATCACAAAACATGTTTCACACTGACTTCACCCCACGTGTGAGCTTCCACCTGGCAATATTTTTGGTTTGTTGGATGCCCTCGTTCACCAGGATTAGCAGTGAAGTTCATTCCTTAGATTTGGCAACACTTGCGATCAAAATTCTGGAGTTCCAAGATCATGAAAAACGCCGAATGGATGGTAGTTGTTGTGGAAATATGACGGACGCAGACAATGCTTTGTGTTTTGCTCAATGTTCATTGGAATTCCGAATTTGTTTGGAGCCATTCGGTATACAAGTCTCGGTAACCGATCATGCGCCGTATGGCGGGCCATGCGTGTACGGTCATGCTAGAACGGGACACTGGGGAAATACAGACACTGTTTACACCTTCTCCGAGGCACAGGCATATGTAATCAATATCACCACCCCGTGGCCGGTAAGTCGCAGCCAAGCTAGTATCTTCCAACTAGCAGGTTCTACAGCCATTAAGCATTGGTGTTACCTGTACGAAGTTAAAGCATTACATCACACTTCTGGTAGTGTAACACGTAAAACACCGTCGTAAAATCAAAAGTGAAACGAATAAGAAACGAAAGTCCCAGAATCAAATATATTTTAATGGATGTGTTCAGTAGTTGGTGGTGTCTGAATTTAATCTACCTTCTCCAATACAAGGCAAACTCAGGCTATATATATATATATATATATATATATACAGCCTGAGCTTGCTTTGTATTGTATATATATATATATATGTTGTACCCTTGATGCTTCTTCACCGCAGTTGGGCTAAACCAACTGACACTTAAAATAGGTCTTTTAAAGCTGGATAAATTCCATTCCACTTTATTTGGTTTGTTCTGCCTACCTGAATAATGTCCTATTAACTGGCCACGTTGCTTACGCTAATTGCGCTTATCTTCGGCAATTTTGTTGCGGTTGTAGTATTTTACGTAATTTTTAGAAATTTCTTACTTATTGCGGATTCGTTACTAACCAACTTACTTCGTATGGTAATTTAGGGAAGAGTTATGCCACCGTATCTGTATTCATTATTGGATTTATTTTATTTCAGCTTGTCGTTTCAAGTGAATGGCTGTTGCTTGATATCCCCGGTGTGGCCGCGCTTGATGTGCATGTTGACAAGATGCCTACCTGTCTATTACCCACTACCTCGTCCATACTGGCTCCAGGAGACAGTTGGTCGTTGCTAGAGGGGACGGGGTGCACGGTCCTTGTGGCCGTGGTAGGCTCAAAGAGCGGTTCCATGCACACAGTGTGGAGCAGACTACGGTCCAGCCACCGCCTTGTGTGCGCTTGATTCCCAAAGTACAGCGTGCTTGTGTTTGCCTGTGAAGGAGTGTGGGCCGGCTCCGTTGATGAAACATGGCTCCTATGCACAAGCGTCCCGGTCTTATTCCTTCGGATTTACACTGGATATGGGGTGTGTGGTTGGAGCTGTGGGTGGTGCAGCGCAAGCCACCCATGGTCCCTCTGTAGACACAGACGTCCTGTGACTGCCCACAGTGACAGGCAAATCCGAAACCGGATGCGGCCAACCACATAGCTTTATCCCGTTCGCTGGTGCAAGTGTAGAAACTACTCAGATGAGATGCACACATTGTCAAGTGTTTTGCAATGATACGCGCGGTAGTGTAAGACATAGAGAAATTACAGTACAGCCTTTAGCGTTACCCGTTGAATAGTCCCAGGAGTTTTAGGATTATAAAGAGCAGCAGAAGAAACAACCCGGTACTTCTTGGTCGTCGATTAAATCGGTCTTAGATTGTGTTTGCCAGAGTGCTTCTCATTCCCATTCAAGCTACCAATATGTTTTGAGAATTAACAGGGCTAGGGAATATGAAACAGTCAAAAGGCAATCTGCAAGCTACCAGCCTGTTACAAGGCATTATAACATTCACGCCCGTGCCTCATTTGCAAGTGTCATGGGGAGCTGAATCGAAGTAAGTTACCAGACATTTGAAGGAGATTTTGCCATTGACGACGTCATGGGCCATTTCTTCAGCGTAATGCAAACAAACTAACTACGCACTGGCCTCAGTTATAACAAATACCATTTAGTCTGTCTCCTAAATTTCTGCCAATGGCACTTACCGGTTACTGTGTTAAACTGTTCTATGCTTAGGAGTTCACTCCAAGCAATGTGTTTAGTGAAGTAGGTTAATCTGGCTTCAGTTGGATGGAGATTAACTCCATAGGCATGCATGGTTACCTTCCCAAACGAAGAGTCAACAAACCCAAAAGTGAATCTAATGAGTTGGCTTTCTCCTTGTTCAAGACCGACACACGCAAACGGCATTAGCATAACCAGTTCCCTTAGTTTAATGATAAGCTCAAGCTACACACAAAATAGTTCTTCAGTTAAACTTTTAGGTTTCGTGAATCTCGCAGATAACACTTTGTTTAAGTGTGTCTGGCTAACCGAACGATTTAAGCAGTCCTTTTATTCACCTACGGTTAAATTACCACAATGCACTGAGTCCGATTTTTGATTTGATTCTACTCAGCAAGTCTCACCAGTCTGGAAAACATAACAGATTCCCTTGAGATCATGCATTCGACCGTGCTGGATGTTTTTCCGAGGTCTACCATGGGCTCCGTTACGTTACCAGGGAACTAAATAATGCAGTTTAAACGGTTACTTAAATGCACCTTGTCACCTGTCCTTTCTTTGCCAACCAACAAGAAACTGCCTCAGTGGACATGTAAATTGGCCCTCAGTGAATTGGATAGAAGAATCTAGTTACTCTTAGATGTGTTCAGGATGTCTAGAACGTTTAATCACGACGTTGCTGGACTAATTTTTCAGCAGCATATACACCAGACTGCACATATTGCAGTTATTGCCTAAATGAACTCATAAGAAACATAATTTTGTAAAGTCTGCTGTTAAGTTTAAGAGGGATAGGTAACCACACTAGAAAATTTAGCCTAAATTGCTGTTCTGTCAGTAGGATATCAGCGACCGAGCTCAAATTTTCATCCGGTGAATAGCATCTGCCCCGATTGGGTTTGCATGGTAATTAAGGAGAACTGTGTTATAAGATGACCTGGGGTACACTTTGGAAACTTCTGGTCTGTCACCCCGCCAAGTCGGCAAACAACCATAGGTCTAACTCTGAACGAAATCAGTTTAGACTTCCCCGTTCTCTTTGTTTGGAATTGTAAATGTGGTCCCACATCACAATTTGGTATGCAACAACAAATGCATATGGAATATTCACTGCACTCACCCAGGATACATAGTGTCTGTCACATTTCCCTTTTTACTGCTTACATTTTAGCAACTGACCAGTGGTTTTTGCAGTAAAGTCTAGTAGACATAAATCGGTTTTCACTTTGAGCAAATTTCCGGTGATTCAAGTAGCATACTTGTCATTTCCGTTTGCAGCAACAGAGAATTTGGGACTGCAATCAGCTGTCACAGTCTCTTGGATACATAGAATTACCGCCATGGTCATAGTGACCAAGATGATGAAGTTTCATTTCAAAGCAGTTCGTGGTCCACATTAAACTCCCGTTTCGCATTACATCCACAACACCGGTGTTGCAAAATGAACGCACATTGAGTCATCCAATAGGTTGACGTACTATGATCAAGGTTTGATAGCATAACTGTAAAGACTTCAGAAAATGTGTTATATCTCCATGATAGGTCCGAGGAAAATGATGCCACAGTTTGACAAATGCCCTTGCTAATCATCACCGAAAGACTGCAGATATGCGCGAATGGTGCGCAATACTGTCACTGAACATTTTATTTAATGGGAATAAAAATTGGTGCTTTACATGACTCATAGGGTGTAAAGAGACATAGTTGCTTCCACAACGGCAGTAGTAAGTATTTCTAGCCTCCATACTTTACGACCTAACTGACCCGACAGATGTCACTGAGTCGAGTCGCTTGATCGAAAACTTCAACTCAAGATGGATGGCTTAGGAAACTTAGGTGTCTTCTTCAAAGCCAAACACATCGTTAACAGGATCACGTTGTGGGGGTAACCCCACATGACTTGTAGAAGTGACAAAATTTCAGATGTTGCCACGGATTAATACATGGGACATCAGCAGCAATCCATGCATCAAAGTTTCCATGGTATTTATTGGTTCAGTTCCGTGAATATAGTATTTCCTTTTTGACTTACTGTTCAACGAAAAGTGACCGCGGTTTCTTGCTTTACAGCTATTCATTCAGTTGGAATCCATCGGATTAGTTCGGTCAATATATTACGCGTTTTGTACAGACCACTAAAGGCTAGTGGGACATGTTCGCGGTGAATATAACATGTTCCCTACCTGTCACTCTTTTCCACATATGAAACCAGTGTTGTTTCTTTGAGGCTAGCGTACATCTTAACGTGGATCAGCCGGTTTAGAAGTGGATGGTTTTTATTATTCATCCTGAGTAGTTAATTACCTAAAAGCCTATCGTGTTACTACGCGGGAGTACATACACTATATTTTTCCGGTTCTTTCTGGATTACCAAAAGAAGTGAAGCGCGCAGGAGAAGGGAGTAACAGTGGACAGGTTACTGACTTGGATGTGGACCGCAAGCAGCGTATCTCTGGGGCGTGTGAGTTAGCCAAGCTGTCGGCTGAGCAGCGCCCATTTCGCCCCAACAGCTGGCCAACTTATTCCCAATTCTCATGCATAATGCAAGTAGGCATGCCATGCACCTGAACACGGTTGCAGTCTTGTTCGATAAGCAGCAATCGATGGTCCCTCCACACACTCCGTCCCTAACAAAGAGTGGAACGTCAGGCACTTCGGCATGAGTGACTTGACGTTGAGTGAAGATGCCAGACATAATTTGCCTTGTTTGTTCCAAAAGCATGGAACGCATAGCCCTTTGTGCTTCACGTTGTTTGCCGTTATCCAAACCCAGTCGGATAAAACAAGCGCACGGAAAATGGGAATTTCAGAATTTGTGGTTAAATTGGAATGTTTCAATAACAAAAGTGTTTTCTGTGGGCTGTTTATTCTCTCTGCGCATTGCACATTCTGAGTGACCAGTAGTGCCTAGTTTACATAATTCGGGAAGGGTGTCACCGTGAGTGCTATTTAACATACTACTTACTTTGATACTAACGTTCACCGATGTCAAGCAGCGGCAGCTACTAACAAGCTATTTAAATCAATTGATGTTAGCCACCTTCATTACTATTGAAGTGCAGCTAAGAGGACCTACATGGCCGACGAAGGACCAAATGAGCTTCCCTTTGTAACGGGGGAAAAAAGCGCCATGTTTGGATGCTTGCTTCATGCTTCCGCTGGTCAAGAGATAAGCGTTAGCTTGACGATGAATGGATAATCAACTGTTGCAAAACAAACTTTGCCTATGTCTAGAGTTGGTGGGATTAGTACATTGCATCAGTCTGCGGGTCATCTGCAGCGAACCAGTAAAGAGAACTGGA